CTAACTTCCTTTTTTTCTTCTCCTTTCTTTTGACAGTGGCAGAATTGTTCTCTTCAGAGCTCCTTGCAGCCTCTGGGTGATCGGGACATTGAATTTGGCAGACAGTTACCATTCGTTCCCTGGGATCGTACTTGCCCTTGCTATCCTCATCCCCTCCCACACTCCCCTTCCCTCTGATAAAACTCCAGGGCATTGCGGTATTGCTATGGAGCCCAGGGAGACTTTGGGCAGCTCCCGGCAAAGGGGGGGTGAGGCAGACTTTCTGCCAGCCACCGTCACCTCCGCAAAGCCTCCACCTGCCTCCAGCTGCACGGGGGAGACGATGCTGCCTGTGGCAGGGGCTGGGAAAGGGATCCCAGTGAGCGGTGAGAGGCTGGAGCCTGAGGAAGAGGATGAGCTGGGTTCTGGGAGAGACGTGGATTCCACTTCCAATGCGGACAGTGAGAAATGGGTGGCAGGAGACGGCCTGGAGGAGCAGGAGTTTTCCATCAAGGAGGCTAACTTCACAGAGGGGAGCTTAAAACTAAAGATCCAGACCACCAAGAGAGCTAAGAAGCCCCCAAAGAACTTGGAGAACTATATTTGCCCTCCTGAGATCAAAATCACCATCAAGCAATCTGGGGAACAGAAGCTTTCTAGAGCTGGGAAAAATAGCAAAGCAGCTAAAGAGGAGGACAGATCACACTCCAAAAAGAAGGTAAGTGCTATTCTTTCCCATATTTCCTCTTTCTCCTGAAGGCAGAGGAAGAGGGTAGCATTAAACCTGCTCAAACAGTTTGAATCAGAGGCACAACCTTTGCAAGGTTCGCAAAGCCCCACTTGGCCGTGGAGGAGGAAATACAGAGCGGGTATCATCCCACACTGCCGTGTATGCTGCAGAGATGATTTTGAAGTATCCTTCAGAGGAACCAATTCAGAAGGGATCAAAAGTTCAGCTGGGCCTCTCCTATTTTTGTGCGTAATTGAGATCTGAGATTTAAGATTAATCATTACATGAGTGATAAATTAAGGAGCCCACTTCTAAACTGCTTTGTGTCTGAGTGCTAATGCTCAAGCCTTTTGGCAGTTAAAGCTTTTGACTACATTTTTAAAATACAGGTATGTTCATAGCGAACAATTGAATCCATTCCTGTATACTGGGTGAAGGGCTCTATTATTCTTGATTACAGCATTGTGCTAGCAACACTATAGTTATGCTTCAGAAAATACTTCCATTATAAGTCTCATTTTCTTCCAGATGCGTATCATTTTCTTGAAATATCCTTCTGGAGAGAAATTTTTGGTACTTTTAAGTTTGGGTAAAAATTGATCTTTTTTTTATTATTATTTACTTTTTTCATTTAGTCAAGGAGAGGAAGAGGGAGGGGAAAAAAAAAGAAATCCTTTTTTTATAGGAACTGTTTTCAGGAGTACCCTTTTGTTTTGATGTTGTCTTGATTTTTCAGCAACGTGCCCTACACTTAGTTTTTAAAATAAATTTAGTTCAAGTGTTTTAAGCAGCACTGGTGGGAGGAAGGACATCTGGTGACTACTCACGTTATTTTGGGTGTAGTGGTGTTTTCTGTCCTAGGCATTAGACAAAGGAGTTCTGGTGGGGTTGAGGTTTTATCACAGTACGAATACTTCACCTCTGCCTCCTTTGCAACATGTGGGCATCATGATGAGTTCAGACAGGAACCCAGATTTGATGAAAGATTCATGAGTATCTCCGAAACCTGGACAAATTCATCTGGGATGTAGACATCCACTGATTAGAGCTCAGGGGTGACTTGGCTTTGCTGCTCATGCACAGCAAGGGATCCAAGCTGCGGAAGGTCCCCACTTCTCCCATACCTTATACATGTGATGGATGCTCACAGGGTTACTTTAAGCTTTGAGGAGGCTAATTGCCAACAGCTCTCCCTGGAGACAGTCTTCCTGGCAGACTGACTTAGACCAAAAATCTGATAACTCCAAATCACTTTTTGAAGCATCAGCTTTTCCCACTGACTCAAGGCAGAGCCCAGGGAGATTAACGTTGCTCACTCTGAGAGTACTTCTCTTAGAAGCTGAACTTGGAAAAAAAAAAAAAAAAGCAAAATCAAGGAGATTTTTTTTTCTTAGAATCCTGCTAAATGGCATCTTCCATGTGCATGAAAAAAATATGTCTTTTTAGCACAGCAGGGGTTTGGCCTGGCAATACACTGAGAAGAGATTTTCCCACCTGTTGAGAAGAATGGGCCGTCTTCTTAGCACTGAGCAATGTCTTATTTCCGCTCCCCTTTCCTCCCTGAATATTTGTAGAGGTCTCAGGGGAACTAGCGGTTGTGTGAGACCATGCTCAGTGACAGCAAAAGTGTCACAAGCAATCCCTCCATGGCCATGCAGGGAGAAAAAAAGACTTGCAAACCACTGCATACCATGCATGGGTCGTGGAGAATATGACTGCTTAGAAATCGGAGCTTTCGTTTCTATTTATCACCCAGTCAGACAAGTATTGAAGGCATGTTCATTCCTCCATGTGGCCATCTGAAAAGGTTAAATAAATAAAACTAACTATAAGGAAACTGTGTGCAAAAAACCCAACCCCAACGACAACAAAAAAGGCACCTTGCAGTGTGGTTACGCTCAGCATGAGACTTTAATTGCAGAAAGATAAGGAGTTTGAAAGAAGCAGATCATGGCCCAAATGTGGCTGAATCTAGCTTACACTTGTGCTGTGAGGTCCGAGCTGGCTGGTGTTGTGTTCCATCTTGTGTGCAGGCTGGAAATGCTTTGGGACAGCACTGGCTTAATCTGGCCGTTAAAACAAAACAAAAAAAACAACCCAGCAGGTGGATGCTCTGAGCAGATGGGGAGAGGGCTGCTGCACTGGCGCATCCATTAGCATAACACCCAACGGCTGCTGCAC